TTAACAACCTGCGATATGCAGATGATACAATTTGCTTGCTGAAAGTGAAGAGGCCTTAACACATTTACTGATGAAGATCAAAGAGCACAGCCTTCAGTATGGATTACATCTCAATGTAAAGAAAACAAAAATCCTCACCACTGGACCAATAAACAACATTCTTATCAATGGAGAAAAGACTGAAGTTGTCAAGGACTTCATTCTTCTTGGATCAACTATCAACACTCACGGAAGCAGCAGTCAAGAAATCAAACGACGTATTGCACTAGGCAAATCTGCTGCACAGGAACTTTTTAAAGTGTTGAAGAGCAGAGATGTCAGCTTGAGGACTAGGGTGCGCCTGACCCAAGCCATGGTGTTTTCAATAATCTCATATGCATGTGAAAGCTGGACAGTGAATAAGGAAGACTGTAAAAGAATTGATACTTTTGAGTTATGGTGTTGGAGGAGAATATTGAAAGTGCCATGGGCTGCCAAAAGAACCAACAGATCTGTGTTGGAAGAAGTGCAGCCAGAGTGCTCCTTAGAGGCTAAGATGGCCAAACTTCGTCTCTCATACTTAGGACATATGTATTGTCAGGAGGGACCAGTCACTTGAGAAGGATATCATGTTTGGTAATGTGGAGGATCAGAGAGAAAGAGGAAGACCCCTGGTGAGATGGAATGGCCAGGTGGCAGCATCGATGGACTCAAGCGTCGCAACAATAGTGATGTTGGCCCAGGATCAGGCAGTGTTTCGTTCTGCTGTGCACAAGGTCGCTATGGGTCAGTGCCGACTCAATGGCACCTAACAACAATAACAACATATGGGTCTGGTTAGAAGAGATTCTCATGATTTAGATGGTGAGTAATTGTTATCATTACTAATTGCGACTGTCACAATTGTAAAGGCAGAAGTTTTGCAACAAAAATGGGGGAGTGGTTAATCTTACAGTTCAGAAATAAAGGACCCTAGGTACATCAAGGAAGATGAGCACAACTGGAATAAAGTGCTTCTTGATCCAAAGCAGCAGCAACACCAGAGATGGGGGCAGAGATGGGGACATGGAGAGAGGGAGCAGCTGAGGACTCTAGATTCATGGGAAGAAAGGGACTAAGAGATGATGGCCAGGAGAGTGGCTTGCAGAATGCGCTCTTCAGTGGTGTAAATTATTATATATGCCCGAGTGTTTTAAGAAAAGGAAAAAAAAAAAAGCATTATAAAGAGAAACACTGTTAACTGATGGTACATGGAGGGGATTATAATCATTGTAATGAAACAAGGTATATGATTTGTTGAATATAAAACTGATGATCTGCCCTGTAAATTTTCACTCGATCCACAATAAAAACATTAAATTAAAAACAAACAAACAAACAAACAAATATCTAATAGGAGCTCATATGTTTTTGAGCCCTTTTTCTGTGGAAAAAAATAATAATAATTCAGGGAAACTCTCAAATAACAAAAGTGATCAAGACTAATAATCTTTACTAACCACGTTCACTATATAAAAGTCAATCCTCATATACTGTTAATTTTTAAAGGAAAGTATAAATGAGAATATACGACATGCTACCTTCTATATTTTGACAAAAGCAACACAGAAAGGACAAGCCAAAAACTTGCCTACAGGGAGTTAAAAGGAAACAGGGTATATGAGATTGATGAGGTGACATTGCTTAAGTATATCTTGAAATACAGTTTTGACTTTGTAGACCCATCTATGCTAATGTTTTACATATTTTTAAAATAATTAAATCAACAAGAAATGGGGGGAGGGAGTTTAATGAAAAACAAAGGGAAATAAATTGCTTAACTATAAATAATACAACTATACTTTAGCAAGGCTTGTGGGGATAATGCAAGTAACTTTGGAACATAGGACTTTGACTCTATATCCTTGGTCTAAACATAAAAACAACATGAAACAAACACTGATCTCTAATTAAGTTTATATTTTTTAAGAAGTATGAGTTAGCAATTCTATAACTACTTACTGTGTGTTGTAGGATTGAGTAAATGAGTAAATATATTGAGAACAATGGCATGCAAGTGTCTTCACTGTTTTCAAATACAGAAAAAGGAAAGACTAGAATTAACCCTATGGTACTGAATTAAGATTGGTGGTATCAGTATGAATTCATGATTTTAAAAGTGACTACATGAATGGATAGATTGATAGTTAGGAAAAGTTATAGGTACATATGTTTTTAAATGTTGTTGTTATGAAGTACCACTGAGTCGATTTCAACTCAAAGTGACCCTGTATAGGGCTTGGCTTCCGAGGAGGAACTGGTGAGTTTGAACTGCCAACCCTGTGGTTCACAGTCCACTGTTGATCCTACAGTGCTGCTCCAGGAGTCCCATGTTTTTGAAATCACGTTTGTACTTATAGTTCTTACTTCTGTCCACTGAAGGGACCTTGAAGCAAAAACATCCCACTGGAATGAATAAAAATACATACAACAGATTTCCTTGGTTGACTGGCTGATTTAGGAACTGGGACTAGGAAAATACAAAGTGAACCTGCAACACCTTGTTGTTCCAGAAAATAAGGAAGTACTCAAAAAATGATGACACACAGACATGCATATATTTCAGGAGTTGACTCCAAATTTTAAAATTGGCAGGTACAGAATATTCATGAACTCATATATGAACTAATTCATGAACTCATATATTCATGAACTAATATGATATAAAAAAATAGGCAGGGTAGGGAAAGCTGTTCCTTACAGTGGAGTACCAACTAATATATATATATATATATATGGAACAATTTTTTTTAAATCACCATTTGGCAACCATCTTAGTAATCAAATGATTCAGCCAAGAATCATCAATAAATGCCAAGGGAATGGGAAGAAGCTTAAGGAAAAAGGGCTTACTTGCATAGTCACAAAGTATACCATGATAAATTATTTATTAAAAAGAAAAAATGGCAACCTTATATTGTATTAACTTACTGAATGCTACCTTATCAGGTAATCAAAGATAATGTAATCAATTACTGATCAAAATGACATCATAAGACTTCTGATCCAATACCCTGAGAGGGACACAATAAACTTTAGCAATAATCCTGCTAAATACATATTAAAATGAATCTAATCAT